GCTCACCCTGTAATCCCAGCACTTTGGGAGGCCGAGGCAAGCATATCACCTGAGGTCAGGAGTTCAAGACCAGCCTGGCCAACATGGTGAAACCCTGTCTCTACTAAAAATGCAAAAATTAGCCGTCAGGCATGGTGGCAGACACCTGTAATCCCAGCTACTTGAGAGGCTGAGGCAGGAGAATTGCTTGAACCCAGGAGGCAGAGGTTGCAGTGAGCTGAGATTATGCCACTGCACTCCAGCCTGGGTGACAGAGAGAGACTGCAGGGGGCCTTTGGATGTGTCCAGAAATGAATCTTCAGATTCTTTTTTCTTTTCTTTCTTTTTTTTTAAACAAGGTCTCACTCTGTTGCCCAGGCTAAGTGCAGTGGCACAATCATAGCTCACTACAGCCTCAAACTCCTGGCTTCAAGCAATCCTCCTACCCCAGCCTCCTGAGTAGGTGGGACTACAGATATATACCTAGGTGGCTCACACCTGTAATCCCAGCACTTTGGGAGACTGAAGCGGGTGGGTGGATCACTAGGTCAAGAAATCGAGACCGTCCTGGCCAACATGGTGAAACTGCGTCTCTACTAAAAATACAAAAATTAGCTGGGTGTGGTGGTGTATTCCTCTAATCCCAGCTACTCAGGAAGCTGAGGCAGGAGAATAGCTTGAACCAGGCAGGTAGAGGTTTCAGTGAGCCAAGATTGAGCCACGGCATTCCAGCCTAGGTGATACAGAGAGACTCCGCCTGCGGGGAGTCTCTCCCCGCAGGAGCCAAGGCAAGGGTCTGAGGCCTCAGTCTGCTCTCATATAAATATAGAATTAGGAAAGAATTCGAGATACAGTTAGTTATTCCTATATATATAATCATAAATAATCACATAGCTATTCACATGTAATTATAAATATACAACATATATATAATCACATAATCTTTAATCTTACTGATAAGTCTCAGGTCAAGAAGTATGGGACTGAAGTGGCATTGGAAAAAGAGGTAACCCTAAGGCAAGACACTTTAAGCACTCTGTGATGCCTGCCTAAGGGCTGCTGGAGGGCGCCTCGGCTGTGCGGCAGTACCAGTGCTGAGGAAGTGCCTGCTGTTTAGCCAGCTAGGGAAGGAGACGTTCAAGATGGCTGAGACGTCTCCTTCCTTGGGGGAGTTAGGAGAAAATTCCGCTCTTCCAAGCTTTTGTGGTAGTCCTGACGGCTGTCAGGGCGGCCTGCAGACATCCAGGGGTTAATTGTCTCTTTGAGATGCTGTGCTTCAGCGGTCACGTTCCATGTCTACTTTCATGTTCTGCTTCTGCACCTGGTTCCTCTCTTTCTCAAATGATAAGAATTAGTAATAGTCGGCCGGGTGCGGTGGCTCAAGCCTGTAATCCCAGCACTTTGGGAGGCCGAGGCGGGTGGATCACGAGGTCAAGAGATCGAGACCATCCTGGTCAACATGGTGAAACCCCGTCTCTACTAATAACACAAAAAACTAGCCGGGCATGGTGGCGCGTGCCTGTAATCCCAGCAACTCAGGAGGCTGAGGCAGGAGAATTGCCCGAACCCAGGAGGCGGAGGTTGCGGTGAGCCAAGATCGCACCATTGCACTCCAGCCTGGGTAACGAGCGAAACTCTGTCTCAAAAAAAAAAAAAAAAGAAAAAAAAAAAAAAAGAATTAGTAATAGTAACATAATCTTAGTGACCTTGTTGTTTCTTGACAAGTATGAAAAAAGTGCTGATGCCTTAGGTTTTCTCCTCACCTCGGCTTCTTGAAAATCCTGAGCCCCTGTCTCCAAGACACGTGATTTACCTGACCCTATCACTGACCACCATTACCTCACCCTACATTCCCTGCCTCCTGTTTTGTACTTGATAAAAGTCAGAGTGTCCAGGCACTCGGGCCACTGCCGGACTCCGATTTTTGGTGGGCAGTGGACCCCTGAGCTCAAACTTTCTTTTCTCCATCTCTGTGTCTTGTGTCTATTTTCACAGTTTCTCAACTCCACACAAGCAGGGAGGAGCTCCCAGGACCCTGTAGGGCTGGACCCTACATCCGCCTCAAAAAAAAATGGTGTGCGCCAGAAGTCAGCAGTGGGTTCTACATGTGCATCTTCATGACGTGAAAACAAAAGGGAAAAGTCGGCCTCCACGCGGCGACTGCAACCTGCAGCTTGGCTCCAGTGACCCTGGACAGCTCAGAAGCCACTGGACAAAGAGCAGGTTAGAAAGGCAGTGGATGCTCTCTTGACACATGGCAAGTCCAGGAAGAACGAATTATGAGTGGCTTTTGAATGAGAATGAAAATTTATTTTTAATGATGGTATTATGGAAAATTCCAAGTAAAGAACTGAGGGTCAGATTGTCCTTGCCTCATGGTATTCGATCAGATTTAGAAGACATCTGTTTATTTACGAAGGATGAACCCAATTCAACCCCTGAGAAGACAGTTCTATAGAAAGCTTTTTAAAAATTTTTATTTATTTATTTTTAAATAAAGGGGCTTTCTGTCAAAAACTGGAAAGCCTGCTAGACAAATTCTAAAAGAGCTGTAACACTTACAGAAAGCTTTTAAACAAGCATGGAATTAAAACCATTTCTCAGATTATTCCCCTCCAAACTCTAAAGAAGAAATATAAAGCCTCTGAAGCCAAGCCCTGCCTTCTGAGCACTTTTGACTTCATCCTTACTCATGCCAGAATTATAGGTGGCTCTTATCCTCACTCGCTGGGAAACATTTCTATCAAAGAAAGTAAGTTCCAGTATCTGTAAACCTTCTGTCCAAGAATTTATCAAGAGAGATCAATGATTGTATGGGTAGAACGGTCCTAAACATTTTTTTTTTTTCCTAAAGGCGGGGTTTCACCATATTGGTCGGGCTGGTCTTGAACTCCCGACCTCAGGTGATCCACCCGCCTTGGCCCCCAAAGTGCTTGGATTACAGGCGTGAGCCACCATGCCCGGCCTTAAACATTTCTAAAACTGGGTCTTGCCTTGCTATATGCATCCATCACATTGGAATGCAAATTCAGCACATCATTGAAAACATTGTTTCTGTCACCAAAGGACTTTCAGAAAAACTGCCGGAGAACTGGGACAGTGTGAAACTCCTGTTTGTGAAAACTGAGAAATCAGCTGCGCTTCCCATCTTCTCCTTGTTTGTCAGCAATTGGGATGAAGCCACCAAAAAAATTACGCTTAATAGGAAGAAAAAAGCGGCAAGGAGAAAACAAAGAGGAAAATATCTTGAAAAGCAAAAGGAAAGGAACAAAAACAGAAGAGGCAGCAGGCTGGCAAGCCTCATCAGTCCTTAGTAAAGACGACGTGGCTCCTCAACGTGTAACACTACAGTGAAGAAACCTGAATCCGAGAGAGAACAGACCCCAGAGCACAGGGAAGAAAAAACATGGCAAAGGAAAAGCCCAGTTTAAAGTGACAAATGAATCTGAAGATGAAATTCCATAGCTGGTCCCAAAAGGAAAGACTCCAGCTAATGAAAATGCAGATATTCAAAAACATGCCACAGGAAAGAAGTCTTCAACAAAGAGTCCCAATCCCAATACATTTTGCGGGAAGAAAAGAAAGGCCTTGGCCGAGCACAGTGGCTCACGCCTGTAATCCAAACACTTTGGGAGGCCGAGGTGGGTGGATCACCTGAGGACAGGAGTTCAAGACCAACCTGGCCAACATGGTGAAACCCCATATCTATAAAAAAATTAAATAAATAAATAAAAAGAAAGGCCTTGCCAACATCTGAGACCCCAAAAACTGCAGAGTCTGAGACCAAAGAGAAAGGCTCAGGGAAGAAGCCAAAAATCAAAGACGCAGGGAAGGAAAAAGAAGTCCTTCACTGGGGAAAAAAGATGCGAGACAGACTCCTAAAAAGCCAGACACCAAGTTCTTCACCACTCCTAGTAAATCTGTGAGAAAAGCTTCCCATACCCCCAAAAATAGCCCCAAAAAAACAAAGTATCCCAGTCGACCTAAAGTCAGTGATTCAACTGGAAAGAAACCTCAGAGCTGCCTCAAGAACTTTTTAGAAATACTCAGGTCCTGACCCACTTTGCAACCTTCTCCAAGAGTCAGGCCTGGACTTAAAAGAGTTTTTTAAAACCTCCATAGGTAATTCTGACATAGTGTTTCCTGGGTATGATAATCTGTTTTTAAATTGTCCTTCTGTGTATTTGCTAATATAATAGAAGAAATACAGAGTGCTTCTCAAAAAAAAAAAAAAAAACTTAAAATTTTTCTTGGCTGGGCGTGGTGGCTCATGCCTGTAATCTCTGCACTTTGGGAGGCTGAGGCAGGTGGATCACGAGGTCAAGAGATTGAGATCATCCTGGCCAACATGGTGAAACTCTCTCTACTAAAAATACCAAAATTAGCTGGGCTTGGTGGCACACATTTGTAGGCCCAGCTATTCAGGAGGCTGAGGCAGGAGAATTGCTTGAACCTGGGAGGAGGAGGTTTTAGTGAGCTGAGATTGCACCACTGCACTCCAGCCTGGTGACAGGTTTTTAGAAGACCCCTTCTAAAAACATATATATGTGTTGTAGACACAGGATCTCACTATGTTGCCCAGGCTACTCTCAAACTCCTGGCTTTAAGCAATCCTCCCACCTTTGCTTCCCAAAGTCCTGGGATTGTAGGTATGAGCCACCGCACCCACCCGGCCAATACTTCAGATTCTTATCCCTTCGTGAAACCTGGGTCTTCCTAACTCCAAGAAACCTGTCTTCTTCCTAGAGTTGAGAGAATTCTGAGGAGGGAGCTGCCTCTCCATCCTTTCCCTATGTGCTTCTAGCAAAAGTTTACCAGTCTTACATCACCAGAGGGCACGAATGAAGAGGCTGCCATCAGCTATTCAAACATTCATACACTATTAACTGAGCACCTACTCTGGGTGAAGCTCACCTGGGAACACCCTGCCCACTCCAGACTTGGAAGCGTGCCCGCTTCACCACATTCTCTGATGTCCTGGCAACCAGAGACTCTGATCTGAGCTCCAGCCAGAACAAAGAGTCCTCCGTGACTGCTGTGACCCGCCACCTCCCCAAGCCTCTGAGGACCAGTCCGTGTAGTCTTGGGACCACTGAAAGCTACCCCTTGTCCTCAAGGACTCCGAGAACCCCAGCCCCACTGACAGCAGGATGAGCTTCTCGGTCACGTTCACCGAGCTGGCCAACATCGCCATCCCACAGTGCGGGGTGCTGAACTTCAAGGCCCTGCACCTCCTGCTGCAGGGCATCTTGGAGCACATCCACATGGCTGAGCTCAAAAAGGTCCTCTCGGGGGATGAGGACTTCCTGCAGCCCTCGCAGGTGGTCATAGTGCCCAGGGAAGGAGACGCCCAGCCCATCCTCAACCCCATGAAGAGGCTCAGCAATGTCTTCGACCACGTAGTTAGCCGCCTCGACAAACTAGAGAACCAGCTGGCCCTGCTGAAGGACCTGCCCTCTACTGCCCAGCTGCTGGAAGGCAGCCAGGGCACTGGCAGGCCCGCCCAGGACCTGTGGCATCTGATCAAGCTCCGGAAGACAGTGGAGGCTCACGATGAAGCCCTGGCCAAGGTATGTCCCCAGCCGCCAGACACTTCCTTTCCCCTCCACACCCCTTGCTCTCTCGGGGGGTGTCTTTTTTTTTTTTTTTTTTTTTTTTTTTTGAGATGGAGTCTCGATCTGCCACCCAGGCTGGAGTGCTGTGGTGCAATCTTGGCTCACTGCAACCTCTGCCTCCTGGGTTCAAGTGATTCTTCTGCCTCAGCCTCCCTAGTTGCTGGGTTACAGGCGCATGCCACCACAGCCAGCCAATTTTTTATTTTTAGTAGAGATGGGGTTTCATCATGTTGGCCAGGCTGATCTCGAACTCCTGACCTCAAGTGATCTGCCCGCTTCAGCCTCCCAAAGTACTGGGATGACAAGCATGAGCCACTGCTCCCGGCCCTCTCCTAGGCGTCTTGTTCCTTATTCCCCTGCAATGGGCCATTCCCTTACGCAGAGTGGGAAGAAGTAGGCTTTGGAGTCAGGCACAATCAAAACGCCAAACTTGCAGCCTCCGCCAAGTATTGCAAAGGAGTCAGATACACAAGGCCATCTAGTATATGATTCTATTTATACAAAATGTCCAGAATAAGCAAATCCATGGAGACAGAAAGCAGTGGTTGCCAGGTGCTGGGAGGAGGAGAGAATGAGGAGTAATTGCTTTGTGGAGACAGAGTTTCCTTTTGGGGTGATGAAAATGTTTTCAAACTAGATGGTTGTACAACCTCACTGAGGTACTAAATGCCACTGAATTGTTCACTTAAAAATGGCTAATTGTACATTAGGTGAATTTCACCGCAATTTTTTTTGTTGTTGAGACAGGATCTCACTCTGTCACCCAGGCTGGAGTGCAGTGACTCAATCACAGCCACCGTAACTTTGACCTCCCAGACTCAAGCAGTCCTCCCACCTCAGCTTCCCAAGTAGCTGGGACCACAGGTGTGCACCGCCGTACCTGGCTAATTTTTGTATTCTTTATAGAGACGGGGTCTCCCTATGTTGCCTAGGCTGGTCTCAAACTCCTAGGCTCAAGTGATCCTCCTTCTTTTGGCCTCCCAAAGTGCTGGGATTACAGGCGTGAGCCACCGTGCTCAGCCTTATCCCAATTTCTTCCTTTCCTTCTTTCTTTTTCTTTTTTTTTTTCTTTTGAGATAGAGTCTCCCTCTGTTGCCCAGGCTGGAGTGCAGTGGCGCGATCTCAGCTCACTACAACCTCTGCCTCCGGGGTTCAAGCGTTCAAGTCTCCTACCTAAGTCTCCTGAGTAGCTGGGACTACAGGCATGTGCCACCATGCCTGGCTAATTTTTTTGTATTTTTAGTAGAGACGAGGTTTTACCCTGTTAGCCAGGATGGTCTCGATCTCCTGACCTTGAGATTCACCCACCTCAGCCTCTCAAAGTGCTGGGATTAAAGGCATGAGCCACTGCACCTGGCCTTTTCACCTCAATTTCTAAAAAATGCCTGGAGGAGCTACCATGGGAGAGGTACCAGAGTTGTCATGGTGAACAGGCACGCCCAGCCTATCAGGGGTGATAGACACAAGTGAGTGAGAACCTACAAGAACCAGCCCCATGAGGAGCAGCAAAGAGGCATTTCTTCTGTCTTCTATGTGAGGAAACTGATGCTTAGAGGAGCTCACTGATTTGCTGAAGGCCCAGCAGCCAGTGGGCAAGGGAGCTGTGATCTGAGGCAGAGCCTCTGACCCTGGCCTACCTGTGACTGCTGAGTCCTGCTAATCCCACCAGCACATGGACAGTGCTCAATTACTGGCAGCCCAAGAAGGAGTAAGAAAGGGAAAATAAGCTGGGTGCAGTGGCTCACGCCTGTAAACAGTGGCTCAAGCCTGGGGGACAGAGGAAGACCCTATGTCTAAAAATAATAATAATAATTTGGCCGGGCGCAGTGGCTCACACCTGTAATCCCAGCACTTTGGGAGGCTGAGGCAGGTGGATCACAAGGTCAGGCATTTGAAACCAGCCTGACCAACATAGTGAAACTCCATCTCTACTAAAAATAAAAAAAATTAGCTGGGCGTGGTGGTGGGCACCTGTCAACCCAGCTACTCAGGAGGCTGAGGCAGCAGAATGGCTTGAACCCGGGAGGTGTATGTTGCAGTGAGCAGAGATGACGCCACTGCACTCCAGCCTGGGTGACAGAGCAAGACTCCGTCTCAAAAAACTAAATAAAAAATAAATAAATAGGGAGGGATGGAGCAAACCACCATGGCATGTATATACCTATGCAGCAATCCTGCAGGGTGTGCACATGTACCCCAGAACCCAAAGTACAACAACAAAAAAGGGATAAATAAATAAATAGAGGGGAAATTGACCTAACATAAAATTAGCCATTTATGGTTTTTTTTTTTTTCTTTTCTTTTTTTTTTTTTAGAGAGACAGGGTTTCACCATATTGGTCAGGCTGGTCTCGGAACTCTGAACCTCAGGTGATCTGCTCACCTTGGCATCCCAGAGTGCTGGGATTACAGGTGTGAGCCACCGTGCCTGGACCAAATCAGCCATTTAAAAGTGAACATTAAACACTGAATTAATGGAAATTCGGTGGCACATGATACATTGACATTGTTGTGTAGACACCTCTATCTAGTTCTAAGCCATTTCCATCACCCCGAAAGGAAACCCTATTTCCCCCAGTTAATCCTCCTCCCTGCAACCCCTGGCAACCACTAATCTGCTTTCTGTCTTATGGATTTGCTTATTCTGGACATTTCGTCTAAAGGCGTAATCCGTATATTTCATAGAAACAGTAGCTTAGTGGTTTCCGGGGGCTCTGGAAGAGGGGAACAGAGTAACTGCTAAGAGGGACGGGATTTCCTTTTAGAAGAATGAAATCTCTTGGAAATAGATAGTGATGCACATACCAAATGCCATCAAATTGTTCACTTTATTTTTATTGTTTTGAGATCGGGTCTCACTCTGTCATCCGGGCTGGGGTGCAGTGGTGCAATCTCTGCTCACTGTAAGCTCTGCCTCCCAGGTTCAAGTGATTCTCGTGCCTCCGCCTCCTGAGTAGCTGGAATTACAAGTGATTAGCACCACGCCTGGCTAATTTTTCTTTGTATTTTTATATCTCATATTTTTATATTTTAATATTTTAGTACTAAAATATTTTTATTTTATTTTATTTTTATTTTTTATTTTTTTGAGACGGAGTTTCGCTCTTGTTACCCAGGCTGGAGTGCAATGGCGCGATCTCGGCTCACCGCAACCTCTGCCTCCTGGGTTCAGGCAATTCTCCTGCCTCAGCCTCCTGAGTAGCTGGGATTACAGGCACGCGCCACCATGCCCAGCTAATTTTTTTGTATTTTTAGTAGAGACGGGGTTTCACCATGTTGACCAGGATGGTCTCGATCTCTCGACCTCGTGATCCACCCGCCTCGGCCTCCCAAAGTGCTGGGATTACAGGCTTGAGCCACCGCGCCCGGCTACTATTTTTATATTTTTATACTTTAATATTATGTGTATTTTACCACAAAAAAGCAGAAATTGGCAGAATAGATAAAAAAAAAAAAAAAAAAAACTGGGCCCAATGGCTCACGCCTGTGATCCCAACACTTTGGAAAGCCAAGGGGGGTAGATCATGAGGTCAGAAGATCAAGATCATCCTAGGTAACAGTGAAACCATGTCTCTACTAAAAATACAGAAAGTTAGCTGAGCATGGTGGCATGTGCCTGTAGTCCCAGGTACTCAAGAGGCTGAGGCAGGAGAATTGCTTGAACTTGGGAGGTGGAGGTTGAGTGAGCTGAGATCACACTATTGCAGTTCAACCTGGGCAACAGAGTGAGACCCCATCTCAAAGACAAACAATAAAACATGACCTAACTACTATATGATGCTTATAAGAGACACTTAAGATTCAAAGACATGGGGGCAGGCAAAAAAAATCAAGATTCAAAGACACAAATAGGGCCAGGCATGGTGGTGGGCACCAGTAATCTCAGCTCTTCAAGAGGCTGAGGCAAGAGGATTGTGTGAGCCCAAGAGTTGACAATTGCAGTGAGCTCTGATTGCTCCACTGCACTCTAGCCTGAGTGACAGAGACCCTGTCTCTACAAAAAAACAAAAACAAAAACAAAAAACAAAAAAACATGCAAATAGGTTAAAAGTAAAAGGATATAAAAAGATATTCCAGCTGGGCGCCGTGACTCACGCCTATAATCCCAACATTTTGGGATGCCAAGGCAGGTAGATCACTTGAGGTCAGAAGTTCAAGACCAGCCTGGCCAACATGGTGATGTCTCTACTAAAAATACAAAAATTAGCGAGGTGTGGTGTCGGGTGCCTATAATCACACCTACTGGGAAGGCTGAGGCAGGAGAAACACTTGAACTCGGGAGGCAGAGTTTGCAGTAAGCTGAGATCGTGCCATTGCACTCCAGCCTGGGCAATAAGAGTGAAACTCTGTCTCAAAAAAAAAAAAAAAAAAAAAAAAAAAAAAAGCTATTCCTTGTATTCCTTTCAAGCAGTGACCAGAGGAGAGTGGGGTCTTCTCAGACAAGATAGACTTTAAGATAAAAATTGTTACTAGAGGCAAGGCTGCCTGGTGTGGCTAAGGGCATGTTATGGGGGTCTTGTGGGCAGGACAGGTGGATACCAGGATCCGAGGTGCTGGCACCCCAGAGGCAGCTTGCCTCCTGGCCTGCCTTGATGGATGAAGGCTTCTAGAAGGCACGGGTACCCCGAGCAGCTCGACAGGACAACCCACCCAGCTCACAAAAAGGGCTTGTGGACAGGTTCAGACCTAGGTGTGCAACCTCCAGAATGGTTTGTGCAGCTAAGGAATGTCCCTATCATTAGAGAATCTTGCCTTGTCCCAGCCTAATTAAAGTTGCCTGAGGTTCCCACAATGACCCATTGAAGGGGGTTGCCATGGCAGCTGGTACTAGAATGGTGCAAACTGCATAACTAACTGTCTGCACCACCAACTAGTAAGGCTGCTGGGGGTTGCCTGGCAAACGGTGTTCAAGGGACAATTTTCCTTTTGAGAGTCCCCATCTGCCTTCTTCAGGCC